CGCCCTCGCTTTCTGCCCTAAGAGCAGTAAGCACAGCGGCGGCGGCGGCGGTGGCAGTGCGGACCCTGCCTGGACCAGCGCGCTCTCTGGAAATAGCTCCGGCCCCGGCCCAGGCTCGTCCCCGGCCGGCAGCACCAAGCCTTTTGTGCACGCCGTGCCCCCCTCTGATCCTCTCCGCCAGGCTAACCGCCTGCCCATCAAGGTGCTGAAGATGCTGACCGCACGGACTGGCCACATTTTTGCACCCCGAGTACCTGCAGCCCCTGCCTTCCACTCCCGTCAGCCCCATAGAGGTAAGGACCCTATCCGCAGATCGCGCTGGGGCCACCACCCTCGCTGCCGTTCCACGGGGTTTCTTTCTCTCGGGATCTGGGGGTGGAAGTGGGGGGGTCGGAGTGATAAAGCTCCGGGATGGGGGAGAGGATAGTGCCTCTCCACACTAAAACTAGGGCGGAAAGAGGGGAGGAGGTAGAATGGAGTGTGAATACTAGAAGGCAAGGCAGCCAAAACTTGTCTCTCCCTTTGATATTAAAGCTCCTACTGGCCCCAGGCCCCCCTCACTCTCGGCCCAGAAGACAGACGGGAGTCCAAAATACAGTTTCAAAGTCATAGTCCTCCGGCTCCCCAGAAGCTGTTTGTACATAGCCTCTAAGGCGCCAACTGCCCGAGCCCTTACTCTGAAGAATTAGGGATGTGTGCGTGCTGGGGCCCGGGTTGGGGGTACAGTTCTAGGTTAAAGAGTCAGAAATCAGGACATTTTGTGAGTTTTATTTTTCAATCTAGTTATCGCTTAGAGAGGACAGGAAATATCCTGGACGCAGGGCTGGGTGGGTAGGTGGGTGGAGGGTGCTGTTGCCTTTCTCAAGGGCGAGAATGACTGTGTGTAGAAGGGGTGTCGCCTAGAATTGAGCCTTGGGGCTGAGAGGATCTTTGCGGGTTGTTGCGGAGGTGCGTTTGAAACCTAGAAACCAGGATATTAAAGGGTTTCCCTTTCTTTCTTTGTGCCCCCACCCCACCCCGACGTCTGACCCCGCAGCTTGATGCCAAGAAGAGCCCGCTGGCGCTGTTGGCCCAAACATGCTCGCAGATCGGGAAGCCCGACCCCTCGCCCTCGTCCAAACTCTCCTCGGTCGCCACCAACGGCGGCGCGGGCGGTGCCGGCGGCGGCGCCGGGGGCGACAAGGACGCAAAGTCGGGCCCTCTCAAGCTGAGCGACATCGGTGTGGAGGACAAGTCCAGCTTCAAACCATACTCCAAACCTGGCTCGGATAAGAAGGAGACGGGAGGCGGCGGCGGCGGCGGGGGCGGCGGGGGCGGCGGCGGGGGGGTTTCGGCGGAGAAGTCCGGATTCCGGGTCCCCGAGCGCCACCTGCCAGCCATTCACTCCCAGGACAGGCAGCCCAAGCTCCAGCGCCTCGGCCTGCTCGCCAGGAGGCATGCTGCCTTCGGCCGGGGGCGGCCCGGAGGGCAAGGACGACAAGAAGGATCCCGAGGCGGGCGGCGGCGGCGGCAGCAAGGGCTCCGGGGGCGCCTCGGCCGAAGGGGGACCCACTGGGCTGGCGCACGGCCGGATTAGCTGTGGCGGCGGAATTAATGTGGACGTGAACCAGCACCCAGATGGGGGCCCCGGGGGCAAGGCTCTAGGCTCGGACTGCGGAGGCTCATCGGGCTCCAGCTCGGGCTCAGGTCCCAGCGCGCCCACCTCCTCCTCGGTGTTGGGCTCTGGGCTGGTGGCGCCCGTATCGCCCTACAAGCCAGGCCAGACAGTATTCCCTCTGCCTCCCGCGGGCATGACCTACCCAGGCAGCCTGGCTGGGGCCTACGCCGGCTACCCGCCCCAGTTTCTGCCACACGGCGTGGCGCTGGACCCCACCAAGCCTGGCAGCCTGGTGGGGGCGCAGCTGGCGGCGGCTGCGGCGGGCTCTCTGGGCTGCAGTAAGCCCGCAGGCTCAAGCCCCTTGGCGGGGGCGTCGCCGCCATCCGTGATGACAGCCAGTTTGTGCCGGGACCCGTACTGCCTCAGCTACCACTGCGCCAGCCACTTGGCTGGGGCGGCGGCAGCCAGCGCGTCGTGCGCTCATGATCCAGCCGCGGCGGCCGCCGCTCTCAAGTCCGGATACCCGCTGGTGTACCCCACGCACCCGCTGCACGGTGTGCACTCATCGCTAACCGCTGCCGCCGCTGCCGGCGCCACACCGCCCTCTCTGGCCGGCCACCCCCTCTACCCCTACCGGCTTCATGCTCCCTAACGACCCACTCCCCCACATCTGCAACTGGGTGTCGGCCAACGGGCCGTGCGACAAGCGCTTCGCTACTTCCGAAGAGCTGCTGAGCCACTTGAGGACCCATACGGCCTTCCCCGGGACAGACAAACTGCTGTCGGGCTACCCTAGCTCTTCTTCTCTGGCCAGCGCCGCAGCAGCCGCCATGGCTTGCCACATGCACATCCCCACATCCGGCGCTCCGGGCAGCCCCGGGACGCTGGCGCTGCGCAGCCCCCACCACGCGCTGGGACTCAGCAGCCGCTACCATCCTTACTCCAAGAGCCCACTCCCCACGCCCGGCGCTCCCGTGCCCGTGCCCGCCGCCACCGGACCCTACTACTCCCCCTACGCCCTCTACGGACAGAGACTGACCACGGCCTCGGCGCTGGGGTACCAGTGAGGGCGGGCGGAAGGGCTGTCGAGGGAGAGAAAAGAACTGGGGTGTGAGGAGGAGCCAAAGGAGGGGTGGGAACAGGTCAGAGGCTACTGTCACCCGCTAGTGGGAATGACCCGGGCCAGGAAAGGAAAAAAATATATACCGTATCTATCTACCCAAAGCAGCGACTGAGACCCGGTGGGAAACTCCCCTTTCCCCCACCTCTCATCTCCCCACCCAAACTTTATAAAAGCTGAAAAGATATCATTTGACTTTTTATAGAAAAAGAAGGAAAAAATAATTGAGAAAGTGTTCATCTGAGGACTGCATCGGTGGACACTGGTATTTATTTATGTTAGCTCCAAGCGGACCCGTGGTTCAAAAGTGCATTATTTAGTTTGAGCTCCGTAGTAAAAAGGAAGAGGGGGAAAAATTAAAACTTGAGGGTAAAAATGTGGAAAACAAACCCTCCCGTCCCTTGTAGATTATAAATAAATACAAAACCGCCACAGAACTAGAGGTCTTCTCTTTAATGTTACTTTAAAATTGCTATGATTGTATTGTAAGTTCTTATTTAATGTCTGATTGAAACACAAATTTACATGCATGTTTGTTACAAAAAATGAAAAAAGAAAACAAAACAAGTCACAATTTGTCAGTTCTGATTTCAAATTGCAATTATTTTTAAGGTGTATACCATCGAAAGAGAATGGGTATTTTTTTGTATGTATTCTGGAAGAAAACAAAAAAAAAGGAAAAACAATTCTATTCCAAAACCTCATTTGCCTTATTTTGTTCTTTAAAAGGAACACAACTATTTTTAATTTTTAAGTCCACCCGCTGAGAAGGGGACAAGTAAGGTTTACGTCATGTACTAAAATAATAGACAATGTATCGCTTTAAAGATTAAAATTCCGTATATTTGATGTATTAAAAGGTTTTACTTCTTATTATTATCTTTTTTATTTTTTGGTTAAAGAACAAGAAAAGCATGACAATTTCAGCCGCTGTGGGTTCCCTGGGCCTCATGGCTACTCCTGCCCAGAGCCTTAGCCGCACTTGCGATTGTTTTGCTGTGATTTTCAGGAATAGGCAAAGGCTTCAGAAGGGCTGGCCAGTAGTGGGGCTGGCCTTCGAGGGGGGGGAATTTTAAGGGGATTTCATAATTTGGAAAGATAGCGTCCTTAGCTATCGCTTATTTCGTTTTTAATTTTTCTCCGAGCAGCTAGTTTGTTAAAAGTGAAAGAGAAAAAAGAGGATTTAAAATTTTTTCCCTCTTGAGATTTTTGGGAGTTTGGGTTTCGTTTTGTGCAGAGTGGCGCAGGTCGTGACTCACCCGCACGACCTCGGCTCAGGGGAGGTGCCGCTACCTGCTGTCCCTCTCTTCGCTTTCCAAGCATGACCTGTCCCGGGCAGGCAGCCGGATCGATATGGGGGTCGGAGGGCGCTTGGGAACCTGTTTCCCAGACCTGGGGAGGAGAGCGCGCCGGAACTCTGTTGTGACTTGGAGGAAAGTGAGTTCGCTCCCCTTTTCTTTTTCTGGCTGCCAAGGGCCAGAAGCGTCCACTAGCCGACCCGTTCCAGCCACCCGCCTCCCCCTCGGGCTGCTTCCTCTCCCCGGAGTTGGGACCCGCGGCAGTCCGGCGCCGAGGCTGCTTTTCCGCGTCCGGATTTCTCTGCAGCCAGCGCTCTATACCAGTCCGCGCCGCAGGAGAGCGCGCCAGGACCCGGGACCCGGAAACCCCTAACAATTCGGTCCCACGAAGGTCCTGGCGCCCATTCTCGGCCTCGCTGAGGCGACCAGGTGGAAACCAAGTGCAGTTCTGGGTTGCAAGCTCCGCTCCGCAGAGGCGAGGCGGGCCTCTCAGTCCCCGCGCGGATCCCTGCAGTGCGCACCGTTCCCTTCTCCCCAACTTGAGCGGCAGGGCTGAGCTGCCTGAAGCGCCCAAGGAATCAGGCAGAGAGGAGCTCTAATCTTTCTTGAGGAGGTAGGCTCCAAGCACCCCCTCCCCATTACACACACTCATACTGAAGGCGCGGGCGGGAGCTCCGCTCTTTGGCTGTTTGAGCGATTACCCCACTGGGTCCGCGGGAGTTCTGGGTTCCCGGGACCCTGGAGTCGCGGCGCTGAGCGCCACCCCAAACTCTCCTCTCGCCAGGGTCAGGTGGGTCTGTGTTATCTAAGCCACCCGACTCCCGCGGCGTCAAGCTCCCCCTGCTGCCTCGGTAAGCTCACCGCCGCGCAGAGGCCACCCTCGGCCTCGGGTCTCGGTCAGTCTACCGCGCGGCCCCCGCCGCCATTTGCTCGGGCGTTGGTGACTCTGAGATTTTCCACCCTTCTCCCAGCGTCAGCCTCACGCCTTCTGGGCCTTTTCTCGGGTTGCATGCAAAGCAGCTCTAGCGACTTCGGGGACGCTGCGGGGAGCTCCCAGGCCACCGCCTGAAAGGGACTTGGTAGAGGAAGAATCAGGCTCTGTGCCTCCTATCCGGAAGGGTGCAGCCTCCAGCGCCTCCAAGCCGCCTGCCCGCACTCTCCGAATCGCGCCCGGGACGCCGCAGCCCTGCTCCCACTCTGGTCCGCCTCAGAGAGGCTGGGCTGGGCCTGACTGGGCCTGGTTGGGCCTGACTTACTGAGAACCTCGGCCGATGGGGCATCTTGTCACCCCCAGGCTCTCGGACAGACACCCCACCACCCCCAAAATGGGCTAGGAGGATGTTCGAGGAAGTGTTGTGGCTTGAGTCCCTCCAGACTCCAGTGCCCACAGCTTGCAACGTGAAAGCCAGGCCCTTGCTCATCCCTCACAGGCACCAGCCTCACGCCCCTGGCCACTCCGACCCAGACGCTTCGCCCTTCTCCGCCTCAGGTCTTTGGAGAGGGGTACCTGGGCCGCCACGCCTCGCTCACCGGGACCCACTTGGGCCAGGAAGGACCTAGAAATTCCCCAGCCGTGAAATTTCAGGTCTAGGACCAGCAGGGAAACCAACTGGGCATGTTCGTGCCTTCACACCCACTCTTGGTATTTTATTGACAAAAATCAAGCTCAGAACGCCTTTAAATTTTAATGAGATCTCCTTTCCGGGGTAGCTACTCAGAGGCAGCAAAATTCCGGAGCTGGGGGCCCGGGTTGGGGGGAAGAAAGCGTTCCCCGACGTGTGGTATGGAACTGAGGTCACTCCGGCGCGGGTTAGTAAGGAAAGGATGCCAATATGTGCCGCAGGTCCAGGCCAGGTGCGACCCCCGCCGCCTCCGGGAATAGAAGCCCCATCCGCGCTACAAGGCCCCGGCTCTCTCCCGCTGTCTCCTTAACTGCCGCGAGATTCCCCCGCGTGCGGGCCTGCTGCCGCTGAAACTCTAACGGAGCGCGGCGTGTCCGCCAGGCGGCGCTGAGGAGCCCGGCTGAGAGGGCAGGAAACCGGGAACCCCGGCCAGTGCGCAGGTCGCCGTCTGGGTGGTCATCCCGAGACCACGGCCTCCACCTTCTCACGGTTTTAAGAGTGGTGTCCAGGAGACAGTGTCCTCCTTGTAGCTCTTCGCTCCTCTTCTGCTGAGAACCATATCCTCCGCGCTTTTCCACCTGCTCTAGCTTCTGCTGTTGTGTTCCCCTTGCTCTCTTTCTCTACCCCAGAAGAGTTGGCCCAGGTGTCACTGGTCCCTCCCCAACCTAGGAAGCTCCCATCGCAACCGTCAAGGCTCCGACAGGTCACCTTGTCTGTCACAAGGAAGTGGTCGCCATACATTCATGCATTCATTCACTCTCATTGCTCGACTATTTCCTAGGACCTACCCCTTGCCAAGGGCTGTCCATCTCTTTACTCACCCCTGACATAGATGGAGAAAGTGAGGCCAAGTCCTGGAAGCCAGGGGCAAGGGCAGCAGAGAAAGCCCAAGCCTTTCCCTCTATTCAACCTCTGCCCCCATCTGTCCCTCACTCAGCAGTGACACTAAGTGACCCTGGTGTCTTTATGCCAGCTGGTCTTTAAGCAGTAAGGAAAGGCAGATGAAGAAGCCCTTCTGGTTGAATTCCCTGTCCCTTGGAAAACGTGCAAAAGTTGCCCAGAAGGTGAGGCCTGTTCCTGCGAGGCCATCTGATGGCCTCTTCTGCACATAATGCTCAGGGTTCCTCACCTACTGTGGCTAGACACCTGGTAGTGCTCAGAGTGACTGCAAAGCTCAGGCTGACCCATTCACTTTGTTATGGACTATAACATATTACCCTGTATTATCCCATTTACATTTTGCAACAATTCCATTAGGTTGTTAGACTCTTTACCCCCATTTTACAGGTGAGGAAACTGAGGCTCAGGAAGGGAAGGACACTAGCTTGAGGTCACATAGCTAGTGAGGGATGGAGTCTACACAGAGATTCTTATCTTGGAGGTGAGAATGCTCTCAACTGAGGAGATTTTAAAGCAGAACAATGCCTACAAGGCAGAGACTGATTCAGCTGGGAGAGAGTGTGGTGGACATAACTTTTATTTTTCTTTTAAGTTCTCAGTATCATCATCATCATCATCATCATCATTATTATTATTATTATTTTACATTTTATTATGGAGATTTTCAAACATACACAGAGGCAGAGAGAATGGTATCCTAGACCCCGTAAACCCATCATCCAGCCTCAACAGTTAGCAACTGACCCTATCTTGTTTCCTCTATACTGGCTCCAACTTGCCTCCCCTACCCCATTAATCTGAAGTGAATACAGACATCTTATTCACTTCCTCAGTTGTTTGTCACTTCCAGCCAGGCTCCCGATCTAGGGCTCATCCTGCTGCCCCCTTCAGTTGAAGTTCAAGTTCAGTTAGTGCACATCAAAGCTGGGATTCGAATGCATTTCTATCAGACCCAGAGCCCTAGCACTTCACTCTACCCTGTGCTGGAGATCCCCCAAAGTTCCGTGGATACTGAGCCCCCTCTGCCCAGTGTGACCCCAGGGCTCACCCAGGGGTGTCTGGGCTGCCAAAAAGACTCAAGCCCCTGGTGAGGCAGCAGTGCCAGATGGAGACACCCACAGTGCAAGGGGCATTCTGAGAGTGCAAACAGTTTATAGCCCCATGGTGCAGTGCAAAGAGCTCAAATTTGGGGTCAGGCTGATCTAAATTGAACTTTTAGCTCCACCACTGACTCAACTCTATGACTCAGCTTATCTGGACCTCAGTTTTCTCATCTGTAAAACGGTGACATTGATACCAACCTAATACAGTTATTGTGAGGGTCAAATGAAATAATTACAGTGAAACTTCCCAACCTACTGCCTGGCCCATACTGGCTCTTAGTAAAGACAGATTTCTTTCCTTCTTCTCTTCCTAAAGTATCGTTTCATTATGACCAGCCCTCTTGCTCAAGGACTAACTGTGACTCCCTGGGGTTCGCTGGCTCAACTTCTCACCCTACCATCTGGCCATCAGAGTGCCTATAACCATGGTTCATCTTCTGACCTCGCCTGTTATACCTTATGTCTGACCAGTCTTCACAATTCAGATGCTCTGCCAGCCAGCTGGCCCCCCCAGCACCTTGGTTGATGGTGCTCATCATTCACTACTTCCCTCGAATGCCTTCCTCCCTCCCCTTCCCTCAAAATTCTCTCAAGACTCATCTCTTCCAGGAAGCCCTCCAGGCTTCCCCCTCCCCAACACACTGATCCTTCCCTTACTTTGCATTCCCTTGGCACTTAATGCAATGGTAGAAGGTAGAGGTATAAAGGCCATTGGACTAGAGATGAGGATACTGGGGTTTGAGTGGTGCCTCTTGTGGTTGTGTGACTATGGACAAGGCATTAATGGCCTCTGTGAAACTTGTCTCCAAAATTAATATAGGCCTATGCATACTATGGGCAGCACATTTACCAATAATAATAATGTTAATAAGCAGTATGTGTTGCATGTTTTCTTCCAGGCACTCATTGAGTCCCATTTACTATCCTCCTCTTACAGGTAAGGAAACTGAGGGCTAGAGAGAAGTCATAAGTCTGTGCTCCAGAGCACAAGTCCTTTAACCATTGTACTGCGCTGTACGAGTCCCTGTGCCTGGGATCTTTGTCCTCTGCCTTCTTTTCCTAATTACCAGCAACACAAAACTCCTGCTTCAAATCTCAGGCCAGTGTCACCTCCTCCTGGAAGCCCCCCAGGTCCTTCCCATTGGATTTAATGTTCTTCTCTTTGCTCCTGTAGCACCTATCCATCCCAATCATATTCTCTTTACATTTTCCTCACAGCCTGGACTCTTGAGGCACTGGGGAGGAGGGGCTGTCTCCTCTACCTATTTCTATTTCTAGTCTTGACAGCTAGCTTGGTACCTGGATTATAAGAAATGTTCAATAAATGTTAGAGGGAAGGAAGGAAAAGAAAGGAAAGGAAGTGGGGGGAGAGGAGGGAAGAGACAGGAAAACAAAAACAAAACACAGAAGGAAGGAAAGATACAAAAGAATTGCGCCTTCTGGGGTAGCATGATTCTTCCAAAGAGAATAGCAGAAGTAGCAGTGGCCTCAGAGAAACTTTGG